ATTTTTTACTTTTATTCGATAAGTCGTTATGTTTTGTGGAATATGATATTGTGATGCATTGTAGCATATAATTTATTTTTCCACTTGTTTGCCTTTAATCATATTATAATTACTACGAAATTCGATGCTAAGGGATTAACGATTTTAAAAAGCGGGTAAGTGGATGTCGCTCTGCTGTATAGTAGGTTACAAGTGGGTCATTGTATAATGGATTGTATTAAACTTGAATTCAATGATATAATATCATTGTATAAGAAAAACGATTCTGAGCTGAGACGGTTTGTCAGTTTGGATATTTTATATAGTTATTATTTATTATATTATCATGTAAGTTGAATTAATATTATAATTTTTTATTTGTTTCTATGGTGATAAACAAAGCGTTAGAAATTAAAATCCGATTTTAAATGGTTTTTCGTAATTTTTCGGTGGTTTTCCCGTGGCATTATATAACTATTGAGAAAATCGAAACCTCTCTCTAAACTCTAACCTCTCTAAAGTACCATCTTGGTCCAATTTGCTAAAAGATAAGGTACTATATGTTGAAATCAAAGAACTCGTTCTGGTAGAAATTTTGTATATAGGATATAAAAAAAATAAAAAAAATAAATAAATAAACACCATTGTATAACCACTAGCTTCCTAGCTCCGCTCAGAATCTAAAAAATTGTAATATAAAACTATTATTATAACATAGGCTGACAGAACGTCTTTGCTCAGAATCGTCCTTCGTATACTATGATTTTACATCGTTGAAATTGAACAAAATATCCACAACAGTGACCCACCCAACACCTGTAGTACAGCAGATCTATATCCATTTTTTTTTTTAATCATGTCTTGATCAGTTTCATCTAATAATTAATATACATGCTCGTCCATTATTTCTTCAGTAATTCAGTTATTTAAAATATTATTTATTTTTGAAATTCTCAATCGTACTTAAAGGCATTTGAATTTTTTCATTTTTTTTTTCATTCAAAAAATGTGCTGTAGTTATATAAACTTCTATTTCGAAAATGAAAACATCCTATATGATATAGTTTATATGATTTTGCAGATCATTTTCATGAACTATTTTAAATCGAAATTTGAAAGAGTCCTTTTTATTTGTCTTTTAAATAATTGTACTAAGGTTTATATTTTTTTTTTTTTTTAATGGTCCGAGAATAAAGAATACTAGATTCAATATAGCATACATTTTATATTTTTATAAAACCATTTTTAAGGACTATTATCCTCAGTTTAAACAATTGTATAACTATGAAACTGCTAGTTCGAATTTTGAATTTTGTACATAAAATATCTGAATAGTTTTCATTTGAAAAATAAAAGGTCATACACCAGAGTTTTTGCCACAAGACACTCCGTAAGTGGTACAAAAGGATTATCAAGAGTTTGGAAATGTTTTCTTTAGTAAATTGATGTTTCTAAAAATCAGAATTTGTATAAATGGGGAGGGGTGTGAGCATGTTTGGTTAATCGACATGTATCGGATAAAATGTCATCCACCAAGACATATATTCAGTCACTGTTTAATTATAGGATACTGAATAATAAATTAGACATATCGGATAATAAATACCAATACTGGTCATTAACTAGTTACTTTAGGCTTTTCATTAACTTAACTGTTAACTTACTAAATTTCTTTTTTAATTTACGTGAAATTAACGAATTAATTTTCATTTTAAGAAGTAAGTTAAGTTAATTTATTTTGTTTTCAATTTAATTATATTTCACTATTTCAGTCTATTTCGTTTTCATGTCAAAAATTGTTTACCATGAATTGTTTAAAGGTAAAAACTTATATCATTTAAATCTAAAATATATGGAAATACTGTATAAAGTATAAACACTATATCTTATAATTTAGTTTTGGGTTGGAAAAAAATTAAGCGTTGTATAAACAAATTAACTTTTTTTAACCTAATAAAAAGTTAACAAAAAGTGTATATTTACTTTAATTTTTAACTTTTTGTTATTGGTGCATAATGCATATGAACTTAATTTAACTGACTTAAAAAGAATCATTAACTTGCCCAATAAATACCTAAATATATAAAAATATACAATACTAGCTGATCCCGTGCACTTCGTTGCCCGTTAAATGTATCAACTCTAGTACGTAAGCTTATGATTTAACTCTCGAGTATCAAAGTTATACCAAGTTTGTCATTTTTACTCAAATATAATCAACTAATACAAAATCCTAACCTAACCTAACCGTACTAAGATCCGAAGAATAAAAAAATCAAATTTAACCCTTTCTAAACTAACCTATCTTCTTCCCAGAGGTCCTCAGAGTTCCAGATTGAGCACCTCCCGAGGTTGGTCCTCTCCCTTTTTAAATTAGCCTATCTTTTAAGTTGGACAAAATTACACACAGTGTAAAAATCTTATCAAAATCGGTTAAGTTGTTTCGGAGTTTATCCTGGAAAAACACTTGACACGAGATTTTTATATAATATATAAAGATATATTAATTACCTAATAATCGTTAAACGATTTAGCAATTATTATAATAATTTATTTTCTGCAGTACCGACATCGATGGACGTCACTATATTAACGCACGAGTAAAAACGCTTGGTTATCGTTATGATCGATTACAATAATATTAGATAAGACGCTACGTGAAATACAGAAAAAAAAGAATCCCCGACAGTGATGTAGTGAAATAGTCTATACGAGACGCCGCGTGATTATGATTTATAATTGAAAAGCATTTCAAGAACTGTCCCTACGCGGGAGTGACGGAAAAAACCTTGTTCTGTGATGTTAATACGAACTAACTTCGTAGTAAACATAATCGCAATATTATTTATTAGTAAATTAAAAAGAAAAACATATTATTTAGGTACACTTTTTAATTTATGTTTTCGGTTAGAATATTATGGATTTGGACGGCGAATGAATAATTTCAATGAATAATGCCGTGGGCATAAACCAAAAGGAGTTAAATCGATTTTTTTATAATCCATTTTTAATACACACGGGCTTACTGATAAGGTTACGTTGGTTGGATTAGGTCAATTTTTTGAAGAATTATCAACAGCTAAAACGATCAAATTTACACTAATTGTGTTATTTTATAGCAAACTAAATACCACTATTCGGTTTTTGACAATAGTATTGAAACCAAAAGGTTCCGTCACAAATGTGAAATAAATTATGGATAAAATGATAGCCATAAAGAACTATCCCATATTAATCGTATCGAGCATACAATAATAATACGGGTGTACAAGGCGAGCAGTCGAAATAATGTTTCGATTTTCAACGTCAGTAATTTTTCTGCTGTGAATGTGAATCGAGTGGTTGGTTCTTTAGAGAGGAATGTCAACTAGCCTTGAGCCCTTGACCATACATTTTTTTAAAAATATTTCTTAGATTTTTTTCACAATTATTATTTATTTGTATTTATTTATATAATATTTGTATGTTTATAGTAGCAATTTTTTATAATATTAAACTGCGACCCGTTATGTGCATAATTAATAGTTATGAAATTATTATAGTATACAGTTAAATTAATACGCGTCGGATATATAATTTTTGTAGATTTATCATTTATCAAACAAATAGTTTGAGTAGGTACTTTCTTTAGGATTTTTTGTGATTTTTTAGTTTTATAGAGCTACAAAATCTAAACTATAATCATCTGGTACAGTCGAAAACATGACTCGTACCCTTGGAATAATACCGCCGTAACTCAAACTTCGGTACTTTGTGTTTGCTACATCATCAAACCCGCAAACATATTATTTATTACAAAGTGTTAGACCGCCACTAACGTTGTTGTAATTATTAAACTCAGTGTCACAGATTTGTATCTGTTCGACATTTTTGTTTTTTTTTTCACTTTAATAATGGATGCATGATACAATTCAAATTTGAGTGTACCTATTACTTTCTGTTGAATCATGTTTTAAAAACTCTAACCTACCATAATCGTATATGTGGTCGTTTACAGTTTTATTTTTATAACCAGTGACTTTTAAGTAATATTGAACACGCTGTCATGTTAGGTGTTGAGGCTGATATTGATTTTAAACCGCAATGTACTCAGTGTTGTGAAAAGATAAATTTAAAATAATCTAGAAAAGATAACAGATTATGCGTTGAAAATGTATCTAATTACAAAATAGATAATAATACAGTTTTTAGGTTTTTTAAGACTTAATAAATTAAATTGTAATGTATACCTAGACATGTTTATAATTTTTTAGTTAACATAATTTTAATTTCATAGAAAAATAAAATGTATATTAAATATTAATAAATTCGATTAAAAAAGAAGGAACGTTTAACGCATATTAATATATTGGACATTTTAAATTATGTGAACACTTAATTTTATTGTTTAATGAAATAATGACTTTTTTAGGCAAAAATTGATTTATTGCAAAAAACTAATTATTATTAGGTCACTTAAACATTCACGAGTAGTTGCTTCCAGTAATTGTTTTATCGGGTGACATATTCTTGTATGAAGCAGTAATTAATACAGGATATGGTCAGATTCCTGTTTCGCAAATGGTATCAGAACGTCATGACACTCTTACAATTTATTAGTGGCTTGGTCAATGGTTGAAATCGTCATTAAAGATTCCGAATGAAGTAAGTTGTGATTTTTCTAAAGCACTTTTAAGGGCAATATCTATAGCGTTTTGTGGAATAAATCTTCAGAATTACTTAGAAACATGTTATAAAGTTTTAACTGATCAAGCCATAGAATTTCCTAGGACTTATATTAGAATAGATGTATCTCATATGATAAAAATCTTTTGTCGAATTAAGTGTTTAATAGGGCATAAAAGAAGAACACTAAAATATTTTTATGTTCGTTGTCTAAGACATTTACTTAATACAAAAGATTTAAATAAATTTGCCAAATTACTCGATGCTATTTTTACAGTAACTTTAAGTGAACCAGATGGAGATTATAAAGAAACAAAGCACCCTCCGAATTGAGTAGACAATATTTATTAGATTGTATGAAAGGTCTGAGTAAAGACGATCAGTTTGAAGAAAATGATCCTGCAGTTAAAACAGACATAAATGAAGATAATATAATAGACGAGGAAGCATCCACAGCTTGTATGAATGAATTTATTACTGATATTTTAAATGGTAGTACCATAAAAGGTGGAAAAATTAAAAAATTGAAAAAATTATGGAAAAATGTGCGAAACTCCAATTATGTAGGTTCATTAATCATCAGTCATTACATATAAAAGTGCGCTCAACGATAAACAATTTAGGGGTTGCTTTGAGGCAATCTCACATTTTTCTAATTTAAATACATAATAATAATATTGTAGTTGAATCGCACCGATATCGTAATAATTAGTACCTATATTAATTTTCTCCAGTCCAAATCCCCTGAGTGCCACACTTTGGTAGCACACGTTTTGAACTTTTATTGAAAGCGATTTCGATAAAAATGATCGGGAAAATGAATTTTGGTGCGTTCAGTTTGAAACAGCCGTACTAAGTACAGCACACACAAATGGACCGTAAAATCGTAAATACCGAATAGTTGATATTGTACTATTTTTCTGAAGATCAATTGCTCCACTTGGGTAGTACATATTTTTAATCTTTATTGAATCTTTATCTTCAAAGACTTCGTTTCAAAATGGTCCAAAAAACATACATTTTGGTGTTCAGTTCGAAAAATCTATCCTTATATTATTATGACATATACACATTATAGTAGAATTGCCCAGATAACGTAAATACCAAGGATGAGCATTAACGAGTTAAAACGTTAAGTTAATTAACTCGTTACTTTTTTTTCAGGTTAATTTTATTTCAAAAGTATGTAAATTTAACTTAATAATCGTCCAAAGAATAATTCAAATTTTTGAATGGGAAAACAATATTTCGGAAAAAAATACATTTTGGTGTTAAGTTTGGAACATTCATCCTAAGTACAAATTGTAGTTAGACGTCCCGATAACGTATATATTGTAAAGTAGTTATCGTATTATTTTTCTTCAGTCCAAGTAAAATAAATTTGGGTGTTCCCTTATGACAACAAGGGAGTTGACCTCAACAAAAATGATAATAAGAAAACACATGAAATATAAAGATAATTTAAATAGACAAAGACAATAAAAATGATGACTCTAATAATCAATAATAATAATAACAATAATACAAAGAATTACGGCAGGAAGAGGAGAGTTGTAGTGGAACGGATTGATAAGAAACGTTGAGCAGTCGTGCTCACTACACCATTACAGTTGATAATGTTTTTGCTGACGAAAAAACTTGTAAAATTCAAAAAAAAAAAATATTGATTTTCAAATTCTAAAAATCAGTTTGCAATTATTTGCAATTATTTTCGCAATATTAGGTCCAATGATAAATATATATATAAATATATATTCGATTTATTTGATTGGTTTTATATGCATTTTTATAACTGTAAGTTAAGATTGTAAACAATGAGTAACATAATAAATGTGTAATAATTTATTATGGATACTTATTTTTAATGATTGCCAAAAAATATATTTATCGTATATAATTTTTAGATCAAATTCTTTGCCACTGTTTATCTGTTGTACACAGTAAAAATAAAAATATATAAACTGTAATTTATTTTTGTACACACATTGAATTAAATATGTCAATGTTACGTATATATTATTATCTACACTATGTATCAAAAAAAATAAAGTTTGTTTTTTTAACAATTTTGTTCTTTGAACATTTTGTTGTACATTATTTTAATATCTATAGTTACATTTTATTGGTTAGTCTTATTTGTTAAAAAACATTAATAACAAAGGATTTCAAAGTATTTCAAACATCGCTTTAATTGTTTGACATCCATCATTTATTTTATTATTAAAGTGTCTTTTATTTAAACATTATGTTTTCGTAATCCTAATAATGTCCAATGCTTGTATTATAGTTATGAACGTTATAAATTTATTACAACCTGTGAGCTATACTGTGGCATGCCGATGGGGATAATATTGTTTGATATCTACAATTCAACTGGTCTAGTACTAGATTCATCGTCCAGTTGAATGATCGTCGATGAACAGTCACCCTCGAACAGTTTTGCATAAAACAATAGACCCTCCAAATCTCCAATCGTCGGTTCTTCTTCAAATTTGTCAAATATTTTCAGTGTTGTGTCCATGACTTCGTATTCAATGTCGTTGATTATCTTGTTTATGACGTCTTCAATGGTTTTTTCGATTTCTTGAGATGTTTCGGTATTATGTAATTCAGCCATTTTCCCTGCAGGAGAATTGCAAGTATATTGTCCGCTTATAGGTAGTCGGAATAATTTGAAATGAAACGATTCTGAATTTCGTCCTAGGCCGTCGCAAGTAATTTAAAACAAACATCGTATATTAGTAGCCAGCTACTACGCCATCATATTATTAATCAGACAGCATTAGCTAGTTCGAGACCGTTTATTTTTCCCAACACCATTATCGGGGGCATTATTGTCAATATATTATAAAATAATATAGGTTCTATAACCTAAAATATTAAAATTTTTGCTGAATTTTTCCTTTTTTTGATTTGTGACTTTATAGTTATGGAGACCATATTGACTAGTATAAGGCGAAAGGGGTCTAAGCGACATTGTGTATACTACGGGACAAGCGACAGTCAAAGAATTCGATCAGAAGAGCGCTAGAGTTCCTATGATCTATGGTATTAAAAAATATTGATCTACGTATAATAGGTACCTATAATAAATTCCAAATTAATCATATCACAATATCTATTAGGTACTTATAACGCGTTATATCTCAACAACAAACCCTGATACTATCATATATATATAATAGTGTGCTTTAGAAGTTTTAAGTACCCACGAATAATATTATACAATCACAAAAAAATAACTAAAATAGTTATTCTAGGTTTTTTTTATTTAATTTCATAAAAATTTGAACTTAAAATGACTATAAAAATAAACTGTGCTTTTGTATTTTTTAGATTTTTTGGTAACAAAATTAACTACTTACGTTGAATCTTGTTTTAAATTTTCAATCCTTAGATATAAAAGTTGAACATTTTATAAATTTTAACTACAAAATAATTATTCAATTTTAAATTTAATACATTTTGTCAAAATTCGATCTTTAAATGCTTATAAAAAAAAAATTGTGAATAATATGTATTTTTAAAATTTTTAAACTGATATTGTAACAATATATCAGGAGTCTTGTATTAAATTTTTACACTTTTTGGCCCAACAGATAAACCTTAATTGATATTTATAGAAAAAACAAACTAAAAATAAAGAGTCAAAATATTTTCAAAATTGTATGATGTATAGGAAATGCTAATATAAACATTCAATGAAATTTTCATGTATCTACAGTTATTCGTTTTTGAATTACAACAAAATAAGAAAATCGCTTCATGAGAAATCGAGTGAATATCCAATGTTGTAAAAATTTAATTTAACTTTCTTATAGACATTTTTTTTTTGATAAAGGTAGATAATCTTATAAGGAATATTATATTAAATTTTAAAATCTTAGATATAAAAAGAAATATTTTTATGAATTCTTAACTCAAAATAATTTGTTATTTTAGTGATTTCTCCATATTCTGTCAAGATTTGAACTTTAAATGCTTTTAAAAAAAATCTGTGACTAATGATTTTTAATATTTTTCAGACGTTAATGTAACAATGTAGTAGGAGAATCGTATTAAATTTTCAATTATTTTTACTCAAAAAATAAATTTATAATGATTTATTTAGAAATAAAACTAAGAAAAAATGGAAAATGAAAATTATGTCAGTAAATAGTTCGAAATAGATCGAAATTCTAACAAATTCAGATCAGTTTTCATAAATATTATTGCATTATGAGATCGATTGGTAGGATGGAAATAAAATAAAAAACGGGAGCGGTAAGTTGTAGTGACGGTCCGCGATTGATTAATAAATAATAATTAATAGCTTATAAATATCTTGCGTAGGTATATAGATAATATAATAAAATCATTGATAATATTATATCACTACACTATGTAATATGTATATTATGTATTTATAATTATTGTAATTAATAAAATATATAAGTAATAACAGCTAATAATTATATATATAATATATACATATATTATATACAATAAGTATTGAATAGTACATAGATAATATATTTTTTGTCACACCTGTACCGAAAGTTTGGTTTTCGACAGTGGTTGAAGCGTTGGAAAGCGAACTTTTTCCGTCTATCGCGCCGTAAACTGGCAATGGGAATCCCCATAGTGCCGGGAAAAAGTGGAAATCCTCAAAAGTGCTGGGTGCATATATCAAGTGTATTCTGTGCACAACCCGACACTGAATTTTATACCACGGTGCTTACAAAGCATAAACTTTTGGTTACATCTTATATAATCTTATAATATAAATCTTATTATAATCTCCTTGCATTGTTTTCGTAGAATAATCTGATTGCTGCCTATATTATACCTAGTGCTTTACTTTTGCCGTGATTACATTTCTTTGTGTGTCTCGTTTTTTATAGACTAGTTAATAGAAAACGGGTATAACGCGATAGAATTTGAAACAGCATCATAAGATCTACATATTATGCATTTATAATTGTTATAATTTATAAACTATAACAATTTGGTGACAACATCAATTTTAATGATAAAAAATCGGAAACTTCTAAAACTTTCCTTATGGACGCATTCAATTTACATAATATGATAAAAAATCCAGCAGAATCTACAACACTACAACGAGAGATGACACTGTCGATGCAGTATTTTCAAGATATTTGGAAAAAAATTACATCACAAACATGCCGATTATATATTTTCAGTTATCACAGGCCTGTAATTTCGATTATTGAATATGATTAATATAATATTAATTAAATAGTAATTATAATCATTTTCATTTTCATTTATTTTTCACATTTACTTTTATTTTGAATGGTTCCACTAAAATGTATTTGTAATCTAAAATATTTGTTGGAAAAGAAACTTCGTTACTACCGGGTGTCTCATGACAGCACTCATTTTTAATATCTAAATGAACACAAAATCTGTAAAATATTATATTAGAGTATAATGACATCACGTATCGAATAATATTGTTAAATGACAATGCTATAATAGAAAAAAAATAATAAGAATCTTAAATTTAAAAAAACAGCATAATCATACATCATGTCAAGGTTAACTAACCCAACTTATTATGTTAAACATCCCTTATCTACCAGTTGCAAGT